GTTCAAACCCACCAGCTGCCCTTGGAAGAAAGGTAAAGCTGTCTATTCCTGTGAAGATTTATAGCCTCAGAAACTCTAGATAGGATTTCTCTGAGTTGGAATCAGTGGCAGTGGGTTTTTGTTTGCTTTTGTTTTCATTTTACCAGTAGCAGGCTGTTTTGACTACTATGGCTGTGTAGTAGGTTTTGATATCTGGAAACGAGAGGCCTCCTACATTGTTCTTTTTTAGTAGTATTTTGCTTATTCTTTATATATGTGGTGATTTGTTTTCCCTTCTTTTAAATAACGATATTGGGTTAATTGAAGGGCAGAGGGATAAATGGCTCAGTGAGCCTCACCTTTCTAGTTCGTGGGTCTCTTGCTTTCTGATGGTCGGACCAGGGTGCAGCTGCCTTAGCCAGTTCCCTGCTTTAGCTTGCAAGGCTTACTTCCTACAAGACATCCCTGAGGATAAGCCACGTGGACCTACCCAGATGCAGCACTGGGTGCTGGAGCAGCCCTGTGGAGACCCCTGCCAGCACTGAAATATTTACACATTCACTGACTTGGCTTTCCTCCTGCAGTCGGCATCATTGTGTCTTTTGTGAGATGGAGGAGGACTTTGTAGATTGGTGTTGGACATATGGGTGAATGGGTTAATATTGGACTTGTGGGCTTGGGCAGCACTGGGTTGGGATTTTTTTTGAAGTGCATTTAACCTTTACTGTATATAAAACTCTCTCTTATACATGAGTTTCTGTGGATTTGTTTCTCTAAAGTACCCAGACTAACACACTTTGTTTCTTTGGCTATGTTTTTCCTTGTGGTATTGTATTCCTAATTTCTTTTTCAGAGTTCTTTTTGTCAAGATAAATGAATATGACTGATTTTTGTTTGTTGATCTTGTGCCCTGCCGCTCTGCTGAATCTCTCAATTCCAAAAATGTTCTTGTTGAGTCTTTTGGTATCTTCTATATTGACGATTGTTTTATTTGCAAATAGAGAGAATTTTACATGTTTTTGCCAATTTGGATGCCTTTAATTTCCCTTTACATGTAACTAAAATTCCAGCACCATATTGAATAGGCAGGATAATCAAGGACATCCTTGTCTGGTTCCTATTTGTACTAGGAATGCTTTCAGTTCTTCATTGCGGGGAGTTTGGGCCATTGGTTTTGTAGACATGCCCTTTATTATCTTAAGAAATTTCCCTTCTTTTCCTATTTTGTTGAGTTTTTATTTTTTGTTATTGAGCATTTTTGTCAGCAGTGGGTGTTGAATTTTTTCAATGCTTTTTCTGCATGAATTGATATAATCATGTCATCCTCTCCCTTTATTTATGTGATGAATTGCATTGTTTTTCTAATATATATTATTGGGGTCTATTGACTCCAGTTTTGTTGAGAATTTTCGTATCTGTGTTCATGAGGGATACGCATGTATAGTGTTGTTGTATACGGATGTCTCTGCCTGACTTTGGTATCAGGGTTATGCTTGCTTCATAAGATGAATCTGAAAATGTTCCATCCTTTTCTGTACTCTGGAATAGTTTGACTACAGTTAATATTAGCTCTTCTCTCTATAGATGGTAGAATTCAACAGTGAAACCGTCTAGGCCTAGACCTTTTTATGTTACGAGCTTTTAATGACCTGATCAGTTTCTTGTTTAGTTACGGATCTGTTCAGATTTCCTCCTTTAATCCATGTTGTTTAAGTGAGTAGTGTGTTTCTAGTGATTTGGCGATTTCTTCTTATTGTTCTGTGCCATCCAGTCGGTTCTAACTACAGCAACTGTACGCACAGCAGACTGAAACATCACCTGGTCCCGCACCGTCCTCATAACCACCTAAGATTTCAAATTGGTTGGAGTACAGGTCTTCATAATCTGATCCTTTCGTTTCCTGTAGGTTGAGGCTTCTTTTGTCGCTCTTTGTCTCATTGTTGAAGATGTTGAGTTCAAGGTGTTGATTATGTTTTTTTCCCTTCTGAGTACTGCGCTTTCTATGCAAAGGTTTTGATATGTTGTGGTTTCATTGTTTGATTCGAGGAATTTTTATATTTAATTTTTTAAATGTCTTCTGTTACCAAGTATCTTTCAGCAGAGTGTAATTCAGTTTCTATAAAATGAATTTCCCCCTTGATCTTCCTATTGCTGGCTTCCAGTTTGATGTTGTGATAGGAGAAGATACTTATTGTATTTCTCACTACCATTGAGTCAGTGCTGACTCATAGCGATCCTCTGTGGGTTTCCAAGACTGTGACTGTTTACAGGAGTTTATAGAAAGCCCAGTCTTTCTCCCATGGAGCTGCTGGTGGTTTTGAACTGCTGACCATGCGGATCACAGCCCAACCACTATACCACCAGGGCTCCATTTGTACATTGTTCAAAATAGACCAGTAAATACAACAATTTAGATTTAGATTATTTAAATTGTATTTAGATGTTTTTAAATTTATTGAGGTGTGTTTTGTGACCTATTTATATGGTCTATTCTGGATAATGTTCCATGTGTACTGGAAAAGAATGTACACTGTATAAATATGAGATAGAGTATTTGCTATATGTCTGTGAGGCCAAGCTGATTGATTTTGTTGTTTCGTTTTATGTCTTTGTTGATTTGTTTTTTCTATCCTTTCTGCCCTTCATTGAGAGTGGTATATTAAAGCTTCCTAGTATTATCATACAGTTGTCTGTTTCTCTCCTCAATTCTGTAAGAATTTGATTTTGCATTTAGATGATCTGTCATTAGATGCTACTAACTGCCCTGGACTTGATGTCAATTTATAGCATCTTATAGGACAGTGAAGAACTGCCCCATGGGTTTCCAAGACTGACTCTTTTTCTTCTTCAAGTTTAATTGGCACATAATTCACATATCATACAATTCAATCGTTCAGTCATGTCAGGGAGGATTGTACAGTCACTGTCACAATCAATTCCAGAATATTTTCTCCCTTTTCCCCAATGATTAAATCACCTCTAAAATGAGTTGTGTAATCACCATCAGTTCTAGTGCTCCCTCCCACATACAGTGTTTGTTACCCGCCCTCCCTATCTCTCTACTGTAAACCCATGCATCAGTTCTTATCTCTGTGCCTCTACTCCTGTGCTTCACAAACTGGAAAACCCCAAAGAAACAATAGAAAACAGAAGCACAATGAAGTGGTAAGGATAAAATAATAATCATACAAAGATAAAAATACGAATAATGAGTAAGAAAAAAAGAGCACGGTGAATATTTTAAAAGGCCAGGGAAGAAATTTTTGTCATGGAACTGGCAAAAAATACTCTCACCTAGAAGAATTTTAGGTTGGGTCAAGAAGTTATTCCGTGTTTAAGTTTCTCTATATTTTGATAAGTGATTAATGATTTTTATGATGTTTACATTGTGCCATTGTAAATTATAGGAGCCTAGGTGGCATAGTAGGTTATGTGTTGGCTGCTAACCACAAGATCAACAGTTCGAAACCACCAGCTGCCCTGCAGGAGAGAGACAAGGCTTTCTCCTCCCATGAACAGTTTCAGTCTCAGAAACCCACCAGGCAGTTCCACCGTGCCCTATGGGGGTAGCTGTGAGTCTGAATCGATTCATTGGCAGTGAGTCTGATTTGGTTTGGGTGTTGTAAGTTATGATACATTGCTATCTAAATTGTGTTGGAGAACACAGTTATTTAGAGTCCAGCTGTTACAGCTGTGTGATCAAAACAACTGATTGATAGATAGATGAGTAATAACCTGCAGTGAGTGATGTTCAGTACCTACAATTAAGCCAGGCACCAGGGACCAACAAGTGCCAAAGAAATATGAGTTTTAATATTTGGGACTAGTTATTTCTTTTTAAAACTTTTTTTTAAAACATTCAGTGAAAATTCTTTTTTCAAATGCCTGCCTCCGATCAGGGCTGTGGTTAGGTTCATAGCTGAGTAATAGAACAGTACGTTACTGGGACTAGTTTTCACAGTATTTAATAAGGGACATTTGACTTTTAAAAAGTGACTAATAGGTACCACTGAAAACAGAAACGTCTTCTCTCTGATTGAATGATTAGAGAACAAATTATACCCTTTCACTCCAGGGTATTATAGCTCATGTTTCTAAACGACTCTGCCTAGATGTTAGTTTTTGCACTGGGACCACATTTACTTTAAGAAGAGATGTTCGGAAGGTAAACTATTTATTACAATGAGCAGGGGGACAGATATGATTAGGTTGGTTACCAGTAGGTGAGAATTTTGGTTCCATACCATTTTGATTCTTTTCATAGCAATCATTTTATTCATTAGTTTTCCCAGTGGCCCACTTCTTCCTAGTAAAGCGTTCTTTACAAGCACATGGTGGATTATGTAATATGTGGCTTGCTTTTCCTACTGCCGTTAGTCATAAAAAGGAGTTTTACTGAAATTACAGATTTTAGAAGTCATCATTATTAGCTGTAATGGTAAACTAGCTATTTTCAGCAAGAATTGTAGTTCATGTTGAAATACATATGTCTATTTTGAAATTTTTAATTTATTTTGTTTTAAAAATGTATTAATGCTAGTAGGCGTAGCCTTTTATTTTAACACTATAGCCTTGCTGAATAATTTCTATGTAAATAGGGTGTTTTCATAAATAGTTTCTAAATGGCATCTGTGATTATAATTGTACCACCAACTGCTAATTTAAATTATCGCCCAATAAAATTACCTAAAGTAAATACTAAATACAAAGTGGCTGAATTAACAACTGCAAGAAAGCCAGATTCTCTAAGGTGTCAACTCTCTTGTTTCTTTACTGTCGCTTTACCTTTTTTATCACCTTTCCCCAAACTCTTCTCCAAGACTCCACAAATGACCTGCTATAGGACATTATGCTGATGTTCATAATAAAAAATAGTAACGGGCCTTTGAAATACTCAAAGAACTTTTACCCCTCCTAACTCACTATTCCCCCACACCCCCACCCCTCACCAAGACATCACTAGTTTTCTTATCTTGGTTTACCATTTAGATTTTTTCTTTTTGTCCCTCTCTCTTTTATAGTGATCTTAAGCCTGAATGGCTGGAGAGCGTGCAGAAAAATGGAGAACTGTTTTATTTGGAATTGAGTGAAGATGAAGAAGAAAGCCTCCTTCCTGAAATACCTGCTACTGTGAATCGTGTTAGGTTCAGTGAAAATGAGATTATTATTGAAGAGGGTGATTACAAAGACAGGAAAAAACATGAACCCAAACTCAAGCGGTTTACCAAAATCCTAAAAGGTAAAAGACTTTTACCCAAGAGCTACAATAAAAAAGGCAGCCATGACAGTGGGCCCGTGTCCATTCTAAAGCACCAGTCGAATCAGAAAACAGGAGTCATTGTCCAGCAGCGATACAAAGACGTGAATGTTTATATAAATCCCAAAAAGTTAACTGTTACCAAAACCAAAGAGCAGCTCAAGCTTTTGGAAGTGCTGGTTGGGATTATCCATCAGACCAAGTGGAGCTGGAGAAGAACTAGGAAACAGAGAAGTGGAGAGAGGATTGTAGTTCATGGCCTGCTTCCTGGCGGATCGGCTATGAAGAGTGGTCAGATATTAATTGGTAAGTGGTGCCGGTGATCATCTGTCCTTATTTGCAGAAATAAATGAAAAGAATCATCATTGGCAGGGATGTGATTAAAAACAAAATTACAGAGTCTGAAGAGGTTAACAATTAATGGATGATTCCTGGGGCAGTAGATAAATTATTGAGGATGGACTACTGCAAAGCAAAGTAATCTAAAATAGCGTATAATGTGCTGAATATGTGTGCGCCTTGGCCAGGCCAGGGAGCAGCTTTCCAATTTTGAATTACATAGTTTTTGGGGTATTGGTTATGTTTGCCAAAAAGAAATTGAAAATAGGTTGATTTTATAGTGATAATTTAGGTTTGAATGGCCCATGTCCAATAACATGATACAAAAAATATATAATTTATGAATAAAAATACTTTTAAATTACATGTTTGTCCTGAGTGTGCTAGTTCCTGGAGTAGTTTAAACAGTTTCATTTCACATATTTAGCGATAGTGGTGTTGTACATAAATTTCCTTTTAAGGGTGCTTATCATAAGCTGTTGACTAAGTTGGTCAACAGTTTTCTTGCTCAGTTACAGATAAACCAGTCAAATGGGAGAGCATAATTTTAATGATTTTACTTAAAAATTATGAGCAATTCAAAAGCTTTTTAAAATTGCCCCAGATTATAAAACTTAGAAAAGGAACTATTATAGATACTTAAGAAATACTTAAAAATTTTTGTAACATCTGAATTTCATGTTTGTTATTTGCTTAATGAATATATATTTTTAACATTTGATAAGCGCTGGGAGTATAAGAATTACTGTTGTTAGGTAGGACTGAGTCGGTTCTGGCTCATAACAACCCCGTACACAACAGAACACAGCACTGTCTAGTCCTGCGCCATCCTCACAATCATTGCTGTTTGAGCCCGTTGTGGCAGCCACTGTGCTAATCCATCTTCTACAGGGTCTTCCTCGTTTTGATGACCCTCTTCCGTACCACGAATGACACTGTACCCTGTGCTGTACCAAAGACGACATGCTTGTCTTCCTTAGTGACATATCCAGAGTGTATGAGATGAGGTTTTGCCCTCCTGCCTAGAAGGCGCATTGTGCTTGTTCATCCTCCAAGAAAGATGTGTAAAACTCAAGGAAGCGAGGTCAGACTCAAGTTTATGACAACGGTTTTTCCTTTGTTTTGCTTTAAGTTCTAAAGGGGCAATCATTTTGATAGGAAAGTTGTGCTGGGGAATTTTTTTTCCCATCGTGACACTGCACCTGCTCATTCTATGAAGGTAGCAAGAGCCGTCCTGTGAGACTTTCATTGAGACCCTTAATCCATGCTTCCTAAAGTGCTGCTCTGAACTCTTCACGCTTCTTTTTGTTCCTCAAACCAAAAAAGTGTTGAAAAGAAACATGATCCGCCTAAATTACCATTTTGACATGGTATATGTTGAAGAACATATGTTTTTCAGGAAAACATTAGGTACTATTGAGTCAGTTCTACTCATACTGGACGATGCCAGATCCTGCACCGTCCTCACGATTGGGAAGTTTGGGCCCGTTGTTGCAGCTTTGGTTGTCAGTCGTCTCCTTGAGGGCCCTCTTCTTTTTCACGGATCCTGTATTTTACCAAGTATGATGTCATTTTCTATGGACGAATCCCTCCTGATAACATGTGGATGTATAAGACATGACGTTTCGCCACCCTCGCTTCTCAGGAGCATTCTGCCTGTACTTTCTCCAGTTGTGTTTATTTTCTGATAGCCCATGGTACTTTCAGTATTCTTCACTAGCACCATAATTCTTTTTTTTTTTCCCCTTCTTTTAAAAATCATTTTTTAATAGTTTTATTAGGGGCTCATACAACTCTTATCATGATCCATACATACATCAATTGTGTAAAGCACATTTGTACATTCATTGCCCTCATCATTCTCAAAACATTTGCTCTCCACTTAAGCCCCCGACATCAGGTCCTCATTTTTCCCCCTCTCTCCCCGCTCCCCCCTCCCTCATGAACCCTTGATAATTTATAAATTGTTATTTTGTCATATCTTGCCCTGTCTGACGTCTCCCTTCACCCACTTTTCTGTTGTCCGTCCCCCAGGGAGGCGGTCACATGTAGATCCTTGCCATATTCAAATGCATCAATTCTTCTGTTACCTTCCTTACTCATCCAGTTTTCACAGGCCCAGGAGAATTGAAAATACCGTGGCTGGGTCAGGCGCACCTTAGTCCTCAAAGTGCCATCTGTGCTCTTTAACACTTCAAGAGGTTCCTTTGATTTCTGCTTTCATGCATGTTGATTGTGAAACCACCCCCCCCCAAATGAAATCCTTAATGACTTCCATCTTTTCTCTATATCACGTTGCTGTTTATTTGTCCATTTGTAGGGATTTTTGTCTTAATGTTGAGGTGTAAGCCATTCTGAAGGCTGTATTCTTTGATCTTTGTTAGTAAGGGCTTCAGGTCTTTCAGCAAGAAAGGCTGTGTCATCTGAATATTGCAGGTTGTTAATCCTGACTGCGTTCTTCTTCTGATAGTCTGTCTTGTCCTTTTGTTTGTTCAGCATGCAAATGGAAGCATGCAGAAAGGAGGCAATCCTGATCCACACCTTTCTTGAATTTAAACCACACAGTATCCAGTTCTGCTGGAACAACTGCCTCTTGGTTAATGTATAGGTTTCACATTAGCACATTAAGTGTTCTGGAATTGCCATTTTCCCACAATGTTACACATGGTGTGTTACAATCCACACAGTTGAACGCTTTTGTGCGATCATTAAGATATAAGTAAACCTCTTTCTGTAGTCTTGGCTTTCAGCTAAGCTCATGATGTCAGCAATGACAGGCCTTGTCTGAATCCAGCTTGAATTTCTGGCAGCTCCCTGTAAAATGTTACTTGCTTGTGATAGTAGTGACGTTGTTTGATAATTTCCACGTTCTGTCACAACACCATTCATTGGAATGGGTACAAATACAGATCAATTCCTATCAGTTGAAAAGTACTGTAGCTGTCTTCCAAATTTCTTGGCATAAAAGAATGAGTGCTTCCGGTGCTTGATCAGCTTATTGAAACCCTTCAATTCCTAGAGCCTTGTTTTTGACTAGTATCTTCAGGGCATTAGAGTTCTTCCTTCAGTACCATCGGTTCTTGATCATATGCTAGTTACCTCATAAAATGGTTGAATGACTCTTCTGTGAAGCTTGCTGTATCATTCAATATTTTACCTATGGTCATCCTTCAATATTACAGCTGCAAGTCCTGAATTTTTTCTTCAGTTCTTTCAGTGTCATATATGCTAATCAGGCTCATTGTCTATGGTTTTCTAACGCGCAAGTCTGTGCACTTTGATGCTCTTTTTTTTGGTCTTATGTACTTTTCCTTTGAAATTTTCTGTTCATCCCTTTTACTGCATCATGGTTTCCATTTACTTTGCCACTCGACTATGTTCAGGTGTAAGTTTCAGAGTCTTTGCCAAAGCACTCCTATATACTGAATGCAGGTCAACCTGAATGTAACTACAAGTAGTGACTTGAGCCCCACCCTCTAATAATCCTGTTTCATAAACAAAATAGATAGCATACCTCAAAATGGAACCATAAACACATGCATAGAGGCTAGGGTTTACAATCCATCATCCAATGGAGTACTGGCTTGAAGAGCCATATTCATTCATTGAGTGAAAAATTACAAAACAAGCAACTTATACCTTGGAACATTGTATGTAATACATATTACTAATGATAAAATGACACCAGCCCCAGCCCCCCCCCCCAAAAAAAAAATCCAACAATGGACGGTCATAAGAACTGGTCAGGACTACTAGTACAGCTACATGTAATGACATGAATGTGACTCTAATGTTGAGCAAATGACAAGCACAAACAGGGAAGATTAAATAATCATTAAAATTTTAAACATGAGACTCGTGATAGCAACTTCTTAGCAAAAAGTTTATGATTTACTGATAAGTGAAAAAAATACTTTTTTTTCCCAGTTAAAATGTTATTTTACCTTTGGTGTATAACAAAAGGCTTAGCATATAATATCCTCAAGACATTTCTTAAATAAATGAATCTAAGTAAAAAGAAAATATAAATAAGACAAAATGTGAATAGTATTAAAAATAGTGTGGTAGTGTTTTGGATAAGTTTTCTTTATTTTTCAAAACAAAATTTTCATTTTTGAATGTATTCTTTAAGTTACATATTTTAAGAAGAAAGAATGCATCATTTTAATGTTATAGTGGGTTTAGTTAGTACTACACAATTTACATTAGTTTACATTAGACATTTACATTAGACGTTTCTCACCTGTTTCTTTCATTGTTACATTTTGTGACCTGCAGTTGCCCTGTGAGGTAAATCTGTTGTTTAATAGTCATGGTGTATTATTAGGGGGGTTTTGGGGTTTGGGGGTTTTCTTTTGTTATATATGAAATACAGTTTATTTGTTTTACTTAGGGAGCCTTGGTAGCACAGATGGTAATGCATTGAGCTGCTAACAATAAAGTCAGCAGTTCAAATTCCTCAGCCTGCCCTCTGAATTAAAATGAGCCTTCTGCTCCCGTGAAGATTTACAACCTCAGAAAACCATGGGAGCAGTTCTGTTTTTCCTGCAGGGTAGCTCTGGGTTGGAATTGACTCGAAGACAATTAATTGTGTTTGCTTGTGTTTTAATTTATTCTCCTTGCAATAGCAAAAATATATTTATTCTAAACTGTTTAGAAAACATCAGTTAAAAAAAGAAAACGTCTATACAACCAAAGGCAACATTTTGATGTATATATTTTGTCTCTGTCTAACACATGTAGTAATTTTGTTTCAAAAATAATTTTCTATTTCTGTATGCATTTTGCATGTAAGTAGATCAGTAAACAACCTTTTGCATATATAATTTCATATGTATTTGTTGGTTAAGTAGATGCTGAAAAATTGATGAGATTTTTCTCAATTATTTAACTTTGTATTCCAATATTAATTTAAATACTGTGGTAAAACTTTGCCTCTTTATTTTTTATTTGATACTTCAGTGTAAGAATCAGTCATTCCGAGCGCAACACTAAGGGCGTGCAAAGCAATGAATTCCCCAGGGAATGCCAAATAGACTTCAGGGCCAGGGTGTGGCACCCCATCAGACTTGACCAGAAAACCCTCATAAAGGTCAACAAACAGATCTGGAACTATTTATAAGCATTTCTTTTTTTGTAGTTGGTTTTTGTTGTTGTTTTGTTTTGCTCTGTCTTGTTTTCGTGCTTATTATTGTATCCGCATGTCTGTCTAAATAAGATAGGTGGAATAAACAACCCTGAGGAGAAAACAACGGGGACCTATGGTTCTGGGCACATGGGAGAGGGGGACGTAGGGGAAAGGAAAGGGAGTGTCAACTAACCCAAGGACAAAGGAACAACAAGTGATCTAAAATCGATGGCGAGTTGGGCATAGGGTGCTTGGTGGGGCTTGATCAAGGGCAATTAGCTGAAAGGAATTACTGAAACCCAAATGAAGGCTGAACATGATTGTGGGACAAGAGGATAAAAAGGAAATAGAGGGATAACTGGAGGCAAAGGACATTTATAGAGGTCTAAATACAGGCATGTACATTTGGAAATATATTTATATATAACAATACGGAAATCTATGTCCTTATATTTATATATTAAGTATTAAGGTAGCAGACAGACATTGGGCCTCTACTCAGGTACTCCCTCAACTCAAGAACACTTTGTTCTAATAACCCATCATTCTGTGATGCCCACCTTCCCTGACATGATCGCTAAAGATAAAATGGGTACATAATAAAGAGAACTGATGGTGCCTGGCTATCAAAAGATACAGCATCTGGGGTCTTACAGGCTTGAAGATAAACAAGCAGCCAGCCATCCAGCTGAGAAGCAACAAAGCCCACATAAAAGAAGCACACCAGCCGATCACAATAATCTACACATAAGCCCCTCCCAGGGGGACAGACAACAGAAAAGTGGGTGAAGGGAGACATTAGTCAATGTAAGACATGAATTTTTTCTTATGAATTCTCAAGGGTTCATGAGAGGGAGGGTGGAGGGGGGGGAATGAGTTGATGCAAAGGGCTCACGTAGAAAGAAAATGTTTTTAAAATGATAATGGCAACATATATACAAATGTGCTTGACAAAATGGATGTATGTATGTATGGATTGTGATAAGAGCTGTACAAACCCCCAATAAAATGATTTTTTTTAGTGCTCCCTCCGCCACCTCCACTATCATGATCCCAATTCTGCCTTACAAATCTAGCTGGACCAGAGGATGTACACTGGTACAAATAGGAACCGAAAACACAGGGAATCCAGGACAGACAATCCCATCAGGACCAGTGTTGAAAGTGGTGATACCGGGAGGATGGAGAGAGGGTGAGGTAGAAAGGGGGAGCTGATTACAAGGATCTACATATAACCACCTCCCTGGATGATGGACAACAGAAAAGTGGGTGAAGGGAGACATCGGACAGTGTATGACGACAAAATAATAATTTACAAATTATCAAGGGTTCATGAGGGAGAGAGAAGCGAGGTGAGTGGGGAAAAAATGAGCTGATACCAAAGGCTCAAGTAGAAAGCAAATGTTTTGAGAATGATGATGGCAAGAAATGTACAAATATGCTTGATACAATGGATGGATGGATGGATTGTGGTAAGAGTTGTACGAGACCCCTGAAAATGATTTTTTTTTAAATCAGTGATTAAATTTTCCTCCTATTTTTGCCTATCAGTAATTTCCAGACCATTCTGTATTTAAATAATTCCATTCAATTATTGAAGCTCATTCTCATCCATCCTTCGAAATGGAACAGTATAATAATGAGTCCGCATGTAATAGTTACAAAAGAGCTTTTCTGGATTTCAGGCTGGTCACTGCAAGCACCTTCACAGAGCTGCTCAGAAAACCTTAAGGGAGACAAGACAATGGCAGTGTGAGAAGTGGAACTACTTTTAAAGAAAGGGAAAACGTTCTGCTAAACATTAAAAAAAAAAAATCTAGGTGTACTTTGCTTTAACATTTTCATTTTTTAAATCACAATACATATCTCCTACTTTAAAGGTTTGTTAGACTTCTTACTTTTAGCTTATACTCCCAGTAACACTAATTATAGAACTGGATTAATTAGAATTTAGAAAAAAATAGTTGTTTGAGACATTATCTAATGGAGTTTGAGTTAATGAAGGAGCACGTTTAAAATAGCTGTACTATTTAAGGTGGTCTCAAACTGGCCTAAGTATGGCAGAAACTCATAAACAGCAGAACTCAAGGTCCCAAAGTGGGTTTGTTTTACATCAATACTCCTATATTGTATTCATTCCCCCTCCCTTTTTTAATCACTACGACTATAAATAATTTGATACAAGACTCTTGTTTAACCTCTTCATTCATTGCCATCAGGTCAATTCTGTCTCATAACAGGCGTATAGGGCAGGGTAGAACTGCCCCCATGGGTTTCGGAGACTGTAAGTCTTTACAGAACAGAAAGTCTCATCTCTCGCCCTTGGGGCAAGTGGTGGTTTATAACTGCTGGCCTTGTGGTTAGCAGCCCAACACATAACCCACTAGGGCACACATGACATCCATTTCTAAAATGGAATGGAAGTAAAAAGTTCATTTTGATCTGTAATTTCTTACATTAAAAAAAAAGATGGTATATGATTGAATGATTAAATTGTATGATATGTAAATTATACGCCAGTAAAATTATTTGTTTTAAAAAGAGCTACCAGGTTGCCCTAAGTGCTTCAATAGTTGACAGTCATAAGTACCCAGCACCACTTTGTATAACTGCTGGGCTGCTTCTCCTGATCATCTAAACTTCGTGCAGGTCTCGTGAGCCTTCCTAAGAAGGCCTCTGAAACTCCTCTTAACTCACCATGTAGGTCATCCCTTCTCCATATGATAGACTACAGAGGAGTGTGAAAAGGTTCTTTCAAAATTGTGTTTTAAAGATTATGATCTATTTGGATACATTTGAAGGCTTGATTTTTAAAAAAAGATGGCTATGAAAGGGGACTAAAGAAAGGGAAAAGGTAGAGAAGTAGATGGAGAAGGAGGGTGGGAGGTGAGGGGAAAGGACCCATGTTGTTCTTAATACCAGAGCATCAGATTAAGATGTGCAGTGGGTTAGACATTTGGCTGCTAATCCAAAGGTTGAAGGTTCAAACCCATCAGCTGCCTTGAGGGAGAGAGATGTGTCAGTTTGATTCCATAAAGATTTATAATCTTCTAAATCCTAAAGAGCAGATCTACTCTCCCATAAGGTTACTATGAGTTGGAATCTACTTGATCGCATTGGGCTAGTATATTTTCAGTTTTCAGAGACTAAAATTGCTTGTGTGGTTCCTATGTCTTGTTATATGAATTTATTTTTTGTTTTGTTTTGTTCAATCACATGGAGTATTACGTATATGGTAAACTTGTCTGAGTTGCCTTCTTTGAGGGAAGGTTATGAGCATACAGGATAATATATCTAGTCTCCTGGCTTTAAATATCATCTACTTATTGATGACTCCCAAATTTACATCTCCAACCTGACTTTTCTAAACACAAGACTCACTCACTGAGGTTTCAAAAAGATCATGGAAAGATGGAATTAAAAGATCATGTAATTTTTCCAGAAACTTTTTGAAACTCCTTTGTACGTCCAGTTTTCTCTTTAACATTTCAACTTACTCGTCTAATAGGCATTATGAAGCTGAATTTATCCGTAACTGAATTCCAGACTTCCACCTTAAACTTGAAGCCATTCCCCTTCACTTATCATTTGCATTCACTGAAAAGATAATCCAGGACAAAGATTCTTAGTACCTCAGTCTGTAAGATGTTTAGAAACCTGAGTGGTCCATGAAAGATTATTTGCCAACACTGTTTTACACCTATGCATTCTTATCATCTATCCCATCCGCTAAAGGGTAGTATGCTCCACCAAGGGAGAGATGATTGCTTATTTTGCTGAGCTCATTTGCTGAGTGTGAATGAATGAATATGAATTACTTGGCCTATTTCCTAATGGTGTCTTTAGGGAAATGTAAAGAATAACTTTTATATATGTATTTATTACTATAGCTCAGTGGTGTTTTGATATTAACCTTTAATTACATTATGAAGGTTAATTTTCATTTTAGTACTGATTTTTATTTTATTAAAGCCTTAAAACTTGATAAGCATACATATTTAAAGAAAAGCTGTGGAAAAGTAGGTTTTTACCAAAACGTCATGAATTTTGATATGGTTGTGGCTTTAAAGCAAATAACTGTGTGTAGATTCTAATCAGTATACAGTATAGCATATTGAATTATGAAGTGCCACATGGGTTTAATTAAAATTTTAACTTTTACTTCTGAATTTTTTTGTGGTGGGGCTAACTGGTTAGATTCAATTTTGTTAAGTGCAGTACTTGGTTTATACCACAAGTTTTCCATTTACCCTTTAGGCGTATAAAATTCCCTTAGTTGTATCAAAAGTATTCAAAAGTTATCTTTAGTTATCCATCATAGTTTTGGAAAAGTAGAATCGGGAGCCTAGCTTGTCGCCACTAATAAGGTGGGTATACCTATGGACAGGTACCTGGTACCACGTTTTTCATTGTGCTTTTGAAGAAATTAGAGTAAAAGAGATGATTTTTGTATGTTAAAATTGTAGATATCTCGAGCCATAACTATCTTTTATTGCTTTTATGGTTTCAGGCGATGTCCTTGTTGCTGTGAATGATGTTGATGTGACTACTGAGAACATCGAGAGAGTTCTCTCTTGTATTCCAGGACCGATGCAGGTGAGGACCTTCCTTTTCTGAAATTTTATCTTTACTGAAAGTAAATGTGTCTGTACTTTAATGTTGTTTTTTTTTAGGGTTCTGAAAAGTCTCATGTAGAATGGATGAGTTGCTCTCACTTGTACACTTGGATATTTTTTAAATTTAGCTCTTGCTTCCATTTTTCCCTTTCAGAATTTTCTAAAGAGAGAAATATCTATAAATAAAATTCATGCTAAGAAAATCAGAAATAACAGCAATAAGAAAAAACATAGATTATAACTGCTATAAGTACTGAAGAAAATCTAGTTCCTAGAAAAGTCAGTTTAAACAATCATAGAATTGTCTATTCGCTTAGTAAAATCGCTGTTTTTTCAAAGTGTAGATTTATTTATTTTATAAACTAATTATAATTTTTTATAGATACTCTGTTACTTAGCTTACCAGGATATTCCATTTGAGTATTTATTTAGCTATTAGTTATTTTTCATTCCTTGTAGGTAAGCATGAATTTCTTTTATTATAAGTTATTTTGGTACTTTAAGTATTGAAGTGTTATTGATGACCTTTTTTAGGTCATTAAATACAGTTTGAAAATGCTGTAGCTTCAATTTATGCATTGTCTGCCCTTGTTAGCATCAATAATTAACTCTCCTTTGTGGGGTAGAGAGGATGGTAAACTTTAGGTAAATGCAAGGAGCTATCAGACAATAAAAGGAAGTTTTGAATGTTCAGGAAGAAAATCAGGATCCCAGATAAGTTAATCTGCATGTGATTTGAGGATGGCAAGACTTTGTCTTACCTCATTTGAATACATTATGAGAAGGGCAAGGGAGGAAGACTCTCAAGGCGGATAGACGGCGGTTACAAGTCTACCGCCAGTATTGCTAGAGCTTAACCAAATCTCTTCTACAAGAAAAGAACAATGTGTTTCCAATGGAGTTACTTTGAATTTATGTTCAATTAACATTTGGAAAAGCAGGCATGTACATTTGACAGAAAAAAAGAAATGAAATGAGTAATGTTTTAAATATTTCAGAACTATTCCACCCACCATTACTTGTCCTACTTGGGCATGAAATAGGAGTCATGTATCTACTGTTTGCCCTGTTTAGACTCTCTTATCATCAGCATCTTGTGGCAGTAAGGGTGGTTCTGAGTTTGAAGCCTTTTTTTTTAATACAACATGATTCTTAAATGCCAATACTTCTATCTTCTGCTGAACTGAAGCAGTTGGCTTTCCTGGGAGAATATGTTGGTGTCCAGTAAGGCCTTGCCTTTCTATTGTAATTTCAAGGGAGATTTAAACTTGCAAACAACTTCAAAATGTAGTTCTTTTGTAAGATATATATGTAATTAAAATATTATATAAGAAATAAAAGTATAAGCTTTCTTATTGTGAAAGTAATGCATACTTATTATACTAATTTTGGAAGATGTACAAGAATAAGGCACACAATTTCTTAGAGGCATCTACTGTTAGTATTGCGGAATATTCCATCCTAGTTTCCTACCCTGAGCATAAATGTGTGTGCATTGTGTGTGTGTATGTGTGTGTGTTTACTAACAAAATTGGTATAATAATTGTGCCTTACTCAAAAGCAAGCACCAGCATTTAGGAGCAGCATGTCTTTGGTAAACATTTATTATCTAAAATTCCTTTACCTATAAACTACTTTTAGTTAATAAGAAAAACCTGGTTTTTCTTACTCAGTTAATGCTGAAAGGAGGAAGAAACTAGCAAGCTTCTCCCGCCCAGTCACTTTCCTGAGGTGGTGTGAACTAGAAAAGGCACAGTGCAGTTCAGGAAGAACTATATCATAATTCCATTAAGCTTCAAAACATTCTGTAAGGTTTTGCTAATTATTATTCCTCTTGTATGCATGAAGAAAAATAATCTAAGAGATTGAGTGGTTTTTTTCCAAGTTTGCAAAATTAATGAGTCAGAGAACTGGAATTCAAACTGCCTCCTGACGATGACCTTTCCCTTTCACATATGAGTTGAGTGGGTCTTTTGGTCAACATCCCCATGTCCTTGTTGGGTCAAAAGTAATGGGAGTGGACTGGCCTCAAAAAAAAGTTGTTTGACCTGGTTCATGTCTATAGCATTTGACGCTTCTAGGAAGAAGAGAAGAACAAAACCTGCCCAAAGAGACTTTTTAACCTTTAAACTTTTAAATATCTAACAGTAGCATTTCGAACTTATATTCAGAGTATAAAGATGGTCTAAACACTTCTTATGATCTAGCAGAGGATGACCTGGGGTATGTTAGGATAGAAATGTCAATAAAAAAAAAGAGGTCAGATCTCAGTTTTAAACCTGTAAGTTTCCAAACTCTTCTGGGTTTCAATTTGCTTACTTATAGCCTAACGGGATTTAGGTGAATAATCTCTGAACCAAATTCCAACCTCTCTGATTCCGCGTTTACTTTTAAAATAATTTACGCTATAAATAGAGTCAGTATACTAGAATGAAATTCAGAGAGAGGTTCAAAAATGTACATGGCCAAGTCATTTCCTTTACAATGAATTTTTAATGTTCTGCAAAACAAGTGACCTGGAGTCTTCAAAAAAGTCAGCATTATAAAAAGCACAAAAAACTACAGAACTAAGGCAAACTGAAATTGGCATACAAGTAAATGCAGTGGATAATCCTTGATGATTCTCGATCACAGGTATATTGGGGCAATTGGTTAAATTTGGGTATGGACTTTATTAGATAATAATATTGAATTTATTGCTAAAATTCCTAAGTGTAATAATTATACTGCGGTCGTGTAAGAGGAATCTCTTGATCTTAGAAAATAATAATACGTACTGAAGCAATGAGTATGATATCAAAATGTCTCCTAGTAACTCTCAAGTAATTTCAGCCAAAAATTATTGTAAAGCTATCTCATGCAGGAGCTGTAATTTTTTATGGAAAGAAGGCACAGAGAGAAAGGAAATGTGGCAAAATGTGAAATGGTGAATCTGAGTGAGAAATAGATGGATGTTCGTTGCATCATTCTTGCAATTTCTGTAGCTTTGGAAATTTTTTACAATTTTTATTGTGAATTAGATAAAGGTTTATAGAGTAGATCACCTTTTTACATTCAACAAGCCATACACATTTTATTTCAACACATCTGTTACAAGTTCCTCAATGTACTTCCAGTGATCCCATTAGCTCCCTGTTTCCTGTGCCCTTTCCTCCTTTCCTAAGTGCTCTGGACTTTGTCCTTGGGAAAATGCTACCCTTTTCATCTGACTGATTCTAACTGCAATGAGTTCCTTCCGGACCTGAAGGGTGACTGAGGGATGCACTCTTGGGGCCTCCGCCAGTCTCTAACTGACCAGTCAGCTTGCTCTTATTTACGATTTTGAGTTCTGTTCCACATTTTTTCCCACACTAGCTGTTGTTAGGTGACTTCGAGTCGTTCACTCATAGCAACCCTGTACACAGCAGAACAACACACGCCCTACGCCTGTGCCACCCTCACCATTGTTCCTGTGATTGAGCACCTGGTTCAAGCCACTGTGTCGACCCATCTTGTTGATGGCCTTCCTCTTTTCGCTGCCGCTCTATTGGAGGACACCAAGCATGATGTCCTCCAGAGACTGGTCTCACCTGACAACATGTCCAAAATGTCGTAGAGGAAGTCTCAACCATCCGTGTCTCTAAGGAGCACTGTGGCCTTACTTCTAATACGATCGGTTTGTCTTTCGAAGGCCATGGTACTTTCAGTATTCTCCAGCACCACAATTCAAAGGCTTCATTTCTTCTAGGGTATCCCTTAGTCAGTGTCCAACTTTCACAGGCAAACGAAGCCTTGGGAAGTGGCCATGGCTGGGGTCAGGACCACCGTAATCCTCAAAGTAGCAATTTGCTTTTCATTTGTGCAGCTGATTTACCCTATGTTCCATGTCTTTTGAAGGCTTACCTGCAGCTTCCATGAGCATCGATTGTAGATCGAAGCAAGAAGAAATCCTTGACAACTTCAATCTTTTCTCCATGATAACATGATATTACCTATTGGTCCAGTTGTGAGGATTTTGGTTCTCCACATTGAGTTGTAGAGCATACTGAAGGCTGCAAGCCTTGATCTTCATCAGCAAATGCTTTAAGTCCTCATCAGTTTCAGCAAGCAAGGTTGTCATCTGAATATCACAGGTTGTTAATAAGTCTTTCTCCAATGCTGATGCCACATTCTTCTACCTATAATCCAGCTTCTCTGATTATCTGTTCCACATACAGATTGAGTAAGGATGGTGAGAGGATACAACCTGATGCACAACCTCCCTGATTTCATTCCCACAATCCATGTACAAGTTCCTCATGAGCACAATGAAGTGTTCTGGGATTCCCATTCTTCTCAAGGTTATCCATAGCTTATTATGATACACGTAGAGGAATGCCTTGGCATAGTCAATAAAATACAACTTTCCGACACACTCTGCTTTCAGCCAAGATGCATCTAACATCAGCAATAATAACCCTTGATCTACAACCCCTTCTGAATGGAGCATAAACCTCTCAGATCTCTCTCAATGTACTGCTGCAACTATTGTTGGATCACCTTCAGCAAAATGGGAGATGCCCGTGATATCAATGACATGTTCTGTGATTTGAGCAGTCTGTTGGGTCACTTTTCTTTGGAATGGGTACAAATATGGATCTCTTCCAGTTAGTTAGCCAAGTAGCTGTCTTCCAAATTTGCTGGCTGAGATGAGTAAGTGCTTGCAGTGCTTCACCAGCCTGTTTAAACATTTCAGTTGGCATTCTATCAATTCCTAGAGTCTTGTTTTTGCTAATACTTTCAGTGCAACTTGAACTTCTTCCTTCAGCACCATTGAATCTGGCTCATATGCTACCTCTTACATGTTGGAATGTCGACTAGTTCTTTTTGGTGGTGACTATGTCTTTCCACCTTCTTTGGATGCTTCTTGGATCATTCAACACGTTGCCCATAGAATCTTTCAGTATTGCAACTGAACACTTAAATTTTTTTCTTTGGTTCTTTCAGTTTAAGATATTCTCG